AATCGCATATGGTGACAATTGATGCGATTCCGACCACTGCTTGATGTTTTTATTTCAATCAGTGTTTTTATTATGTCGAGACACTTGTCCCCTCTTGATATATTGCTGTACAGCTCATCTCTCGAGCCATGCATGTAAATGTCAAAAATATATGTTAATGAAATCAACATGCTGAGTAGTGTGGGCAAAGTAATCGTTGGAATCCTGTTCAACCGCTTCGTCACTTAAGTCGTTGAACCGAACTTCTCGGAAGAGCAATGTGGATTCCGGGCGGGCCACAGCACCATTAATATGCTACCTGTGGGTATACTTTTCTGGACTGGGCAATGGATTGTCTTCAATGTTCGCGCTCCTTCCGTCCACATTTTCGCACCCGAACTGTCGCCTTTGGCGTTCTTTCACACCGCCGTGTGATTTCGTTCTCTTGTGTCATTTGGCATATGTATTTGCGCGATGCATCAGGATCCTCATCCAATCAGTTGCCCGCAGGATCTACATTCGACTTCGTTACTCCCATTAACTTACGCTGTGGAACTTTCCATTAGTTCACGTGAAGGTCGAGAGTTTGTTCTGTCGGAGATTCAGTTTCAGGACAACCGGAGCACCACGGTACGGCATCCGATTAGGGATATGAGAACTCATTGAAAGCACTTGACGGCACTGTTGTTCGGTGTCACCGGTTTACAGCCTAGTGCTATTCCATTTCCTTTGATGCACAGATCCAAGGAAGGTTCTCTTAATTTTAACAGTTGCTGAGTAGGACTGATTTTCTACTCTCTCTCGCCCATTTCGAAGACGCTTTCAGCCGACCAGTCGTGCTATCATTATATGTTGGGCAGGCTGCGCTCTTCTGGGGTGTTGCAACCACAACACTCATTTTCGACGAGATCCAGCACAAGGCGATGCTGCTGAGTCTGATGAGTGTGCCTGCTCCCATGACTTGCCTTTGTCGTTTATGAGGAGCAGCTGTGGCTCCACTGTAACTGTTATGTACGATCGTGTTTGACGACAAGAGGACTTAGCTTCAAACTAGCTGCCATCACCCGTCATTCTTCCGTTCAAAATGGCTATGGGACTTATCATGAAGGGAATCTAAGCCTCGATGTCATCAGCCCCACCTTAGAACTACTTGCATTCATCATGACGCAGCGGCTCCCCGGACCTCATGAGAGCCGAATTAATGAAAACGAAACTCATGAATTATGCCCTGTTCGAATACAAGTTCAATTAACGGAGATATCACTTTTTAATAATTCTCATCAGGCCATTGCAAGTGTAAGAAACACACATGCAACGCAGTATGCCAATGAAAGGTAGGTTGAAGACTGCTGCTGTTTAAACGAGACTGGTAAATGGGATCGCTAATTTGGTCGATTCACAGCCGACTTTACTTTGCCAGTGTCCGACATCGAGGGATTCCCACGCGGCCAAGGTAACACGAGTGCTTGTACGAGAGCTTTCTGCTTGCACAATTCAGGCTGAATAAGCATGAGAGCGATCGCCTCAGCCGTCTTCAATACACGCTTCTTGGTCGCTTTAGGATGATGTAGCGGCACGGAATAGAAAACCCTGCACGCGTCTACTATCCGGATTTTGTGTCCGGAACTGGTTAGAAGATGCACTTGTTGTTTTCGGATGCTGCGCCTCTTCGGGCGAAGTTACAGTCATCCAGCTGATGGTGTAGCGCAGCAACCTACCAGATATATATATATATATATATATATATATATATATATATATATATATATTCACAATCTGTTAACAGACATTGCCATCAGAACCATGGCGGAAGAAAAAAATGGGGGAAATAGAAATACAATATACAACGAAAAATAGAAAACGTTTTTTGTTTTTACACGCCATTTTGCTTTTTGTTTGGTGTGTTTTGTGTGCATTAAAGGGAGGATAAAATAGCAGAACAACATTGACGCCACTGATGTCTGTTGCGGGCCATGACATCCAATGTTCCAACCACTGAGATTCAGCATCTCGTGGTCCCCAACCTGGAAGACGGACTGGTCCGACTGCCACCAAACTTGTTGTCTTCTTCATGCTTCTCCACGTCATTGGCTGTCCACCGCGGCACTTTTTCCAGTCGCTCCCTGGGAGTGCAAATAGCGCTCGACATGGAAGGCGATAGGCCGGCATGCGCAATACGTGAGCGAGCCAACGCATACGATGTCAGAGAATAGTTCTGAAGATTGGCACTACTCGGTCTCGGACCTCTGCGTTACTTACGTGGTGTTGCTACCACACTTGAGTAATCCTTCGTAGACAGCGATTGTCGAAGACTGACAACCGCTTCATGTCTTCCGAACGAATAGGCCAAGTCTCACAGCCGTACAAGGGTACTGCACAGACCTAAGCATTGTACACCCTGACCTTGAGCTTGAGACTGACATCACGACGACGCCATAGGTGTCTCAGTTTGATGAATGCAAGGCGGGCCTTTGCAATCCGTTGTGAGACTTCAACTCCAACATCGCCAACAGCCGTGATGCAACTCTTTAGATAAGTAAAGTAAGGGACTTGCTCCAGAACATGTCTAGAAATGGTGAGTGCGGGTTCAGGCACCTGCCAGTCCTGGAGCAGCGTTTTACATTTTCCCGAACTGAAGCATAAACCGTACTTAGACACCTCCATCGCCAAGCGGTCCAAAGCGCTCTGGACGGTTTGTGGGTCGTCCCACAGCTAGGCGATATCATCGGCGTAATCCAAGTCCGTGAATCTGTCTCCAGGGAGGAGCTCAACACCGCAGTTCTGGGCACCTTCCATTGCTCCTTGGACGACATCTTCGATGACAAAATTGAAGAGGAAAACTGAAATAGGGCAACCTTGAGGAACACCGTTGGTCACAGCGAACGTAGAATAGAACGTGCCCTAAGCCCTGACTTTGCCCGACGTGTGGTTGTAAAGTTCTTTCAGAATGGTTACCAACTTGCCGGACACACCTTTCTTCATTAAACAGTTCCACAATGCAGATCTATCCACTGAATCAATTGCCGCTCGGATGTCCAAGAACACCGATGGATGCGACGGAGTTCGAGGAGTTTGCGGAGCGTGAAGATTTTGTCGATGCAACCGTGGCCTGGACGAAACCGGCTTGTTTTTCTTGGGAGTACTCCTCTCTAGTCGTTGAAAGCCTGCGAAGTAGGACAGACACGAAGATTTTTGATGTGACAGCGATCAACGAGATTCCGCGGTAGTTACAGCAATCATCGCGCGGGCCTTTCTTGTGAATCGGAACAATGACCGATTCTCTCCATGAGTTCGAAACCTTCTTCTCAGTCCAAACTTTCGTAAACAGCGATAGGATTTCGCTGACAAGTACACTCCCGCCATATTTGAATAGAGCCGGTGCTAGGCTGTCCGGGATCAGGAGCCTTGTGGCATTTCAAATATTGGATTGCATCTCGGATCTCTGCATCAGTTGGGGGGCCTGTGTGGACAGACCAATCATCATCCTTTGGAGCTGAAGGTGCCACAAGTGGCTGTGTTGGGTGGTTGAATTGAAGAGCGAAATGCTGGTAGACCGGATTAGAGTCCTGTGGTCGTGTTTCACTCAGGCAGCAGATATCAATTCTAAGGGTCTCTAGCGTGCGTTCAAGTCCAGCTTGCTGACCGATCTGCAGTAACCTGCGTACGTTGAAGGCTGCAAATTTGCACTGTGTTCCGGGTTGCACGAGCGAAGATGAGAGACTTCGATACTGGCAGCTCCCTGTTGAGCACTGTGTGGTTGGGTTGACAAATGTCACGGGAACAGGTTTATCGGTGTGAATGGCACAAGGGAAGGGAAGGGAAAATGATCGCGTGTGCTTATGAAGTTGACATAGTAGCGGGGGTGAATAGCATCATAGCAGCAAGAGAGCGTGTGAATGGTTGTAGTTGTAAGTCCATGGTTTGTCAGTAGGCGAGATACTACTCGGTTGCCTAGGCCGAGGTAGGTAGCTTGTCTTAGGGGAACACCGCCTCGAGCCTTTGGCCAAAGGGTTTAACCTACAAGGCAGCAGGACGAGATGAGGCATTCGCACCCGTTTGGAGCCGGTGACTGCACGTTTAGTTCATACACCTTTCGGATGACGATAAACCATGCCAGGGGCCCAACACTCTCGAAGTCAGAGACAATATCCGGTGCTCGAATTACTTGCCGGTGTACAATGTCTCTGGAGGAGGCAAGGGGCAGTGACTTTATATAGTGGCGACTCACATCTGCCACGTCTCAGTGTTGTTAAACTTACATTTGAGGCTCTTTACAGGTAGAACGCTCGCCATACGAAAACCCACCATGTCCTGGAACACTGCCGCCGAAGCATTCGCCGGAACAGAAAATTCCCGAACCACTCAGCTGCACCACGAGAAGGTTGTTCGGCCAGCCAGCCTAACTTACCGGAAGATCGAATGGAATGGTGCATATTATGCTCGCCCTAGATTTCCACTTCCTTATCTGCCATATCAGACATGACACGACCATGAAGTTTAGTTCTCCCGAATTACACTTTTTTCTCTCTGAATTACCCTACTTTTTAAATCTTCATCACTATGATGCTTCACTGCTCGAACCATAGTTGTGTTGAATGAACCGGACTGGACTATTTGCTTTTGCCTCAATAGGGTCAACATCTAGATGGGAAAAGACGCTACTGACTAGTTAGCGTTTATTTCTTAGGGAACTCACTCCCTTTAGTTGGACCTGGATGAGTGCATTATAAACCTTATTCTAGTTGGTCTACCTCTAGCTTATAAGGCCTGTTCCTGGTTTTGCACCGCCTGATTTTGACTCTCCATGCGCAAGTTCTCCGTTCATTGACGGTAGTATTTCCCTCGGTTTGTTCACGTCCATGTATTGTACATTGTTAGTTGCGTACTGAAGACTTTAACATCTTCCTAGTGCTAACTTTTGTCAACATTATTGCCAACCTTATTGTATTGCATGTATGAAAGTTACCTCTGTACCCTATCTAATATTCCTGCAAATTCATCGGGTTTTGCTTTCCATACAGCATCCTTCGAGGTCTGGCGCTACCAACACGACTCCCTTTTCGACTGCGCCTTCCACTGCTGCGAGTTCGAAACATCCCCTCACGGCCGGGCCTCTCACTCAACCTTTGGTTGTCCAAATCAAACCTCGCAGTGCGACTCGAACCTGTTCCAATGCTGGCTCGCGTTCGCATGAAAAAACGGTATCCGCAGCACTTCGCTCAGCCAGATCCAAATCACATGTCTTTGGTTCAGGCTACTTCGATCGATCTGCCTTCTCGTCTTGGTTACCTATACAATGGCGCGATCGACCTCACGATCGTCGGAATCGTCGTTCCTCTAGATTGACTGCAAAAGATTCTCTCTTCTGCCAACTCGGCCATGCGGACCACATCTCACCTGAGCCATTTCCCCCTTCCCCGTTTCCACCCCCACCAGATGCACCTGGTGGATTACTTGACCCCCTGACTAGTTCAGTTGTCACGTCCGACGCCGAACCGGCGGTCGGTGAACGTGTTGTGTTTGCAGTCGTAGAGACTGTACCGCATCATCCACCGTCTAGTCTAACTGTCAAATCCGATGGGGGTGATGGCAACTCCTCTGACACCACCCCTGCTTGCACCACATGTAGTGCTCCCGTTCCGATGTCCTTCACTGTATCAGATATTATTTCTACCTGTTCTTCCACTGCCTAGGATGCTTTCCTCTGCTCCCATCTGTATCCCCCTTATCCACCCACCGTCCACTATGTGTACATCCAGTTCGTCGTTATCGTGTGCAAGTATCTGAGTTATGAGTTTGATTTTATTCATTAGTGCACATACCGGCTTCACTAATGCCGGGTTCTTCACTCCCTCCCTAGCAGTATCAGGTACTAACTGTCCTCATTGTGTCATTGTTACCCAACTCTTTACCTAATGTGATGTTTTTACCTAGCACCGCTTTATGCAGTTTTCTTTCCAACCACTAAGCCTGTGGTAAGTTTATCAGAATACCTGAGCAAGTATTTGCCTGCATTTCTCCCTAATATCTACTCCACTCCACCTAGTCCACTCTGCCCAGTGCCCCTCCCCACCCAAACTCATCATGCAGGCGGTCATATAAGTGACTTCTGTCCTCCTTCTCAGTGTATACGTTAGTCTTTCTCTGTCACTGTGCTCCCACACCTTTGTCAGCTGTTTACTTTAATGTTAGCCTGTGGCTATGTGCAATTCATCCACACCTTACCAGAAACCCTCGAGCACTTTGGGACTTGTGTCGAACTGTTCACACATGTGAGACACCATTGTTCTTTTGCTTTCACTCAACTGGAAACCTGTTGGTTTTCCCCTACTCTCATTTTCCTGTGTCCTCCCCACATCTTTCTCCTACTACGAAACCGTCACAACTTCCTCTCGTCGCATAATATGCCCGTGTCGCTTTCCTTCCAACCGTATGTATTGCACATCATGGTAGTGCCTGCTCACGTGTTGTGTTACCTGTCGCAATGTGCGATACTTTTCCATGTTCCGAAAGTGAGACTAACCATCTTTTTCCAGTTCACATTGCGGTCTTAACAGCTTTCATTCGTCTGGATTCCTATGGGATTCCTTCCATCCATTATTGATTAACTGGGTCTTATACTGATCAACGCTCCAATTCTGCACCGAAATGTAATGGATTTACTCACTGTGACCATGTTCACACAAAACTAAATGGCAATCATTTGAGAAAATGAGCCGTGTGTGTGTGCGGAAAATTCGTTAAGTATGTATTCAAAGAAAATAGATGAGGAATAAAGACTATGATCGTTAAATCGACGGATGAACGGTTAGAGACAACACGTCGAATACGGAAGGACGATAGGCATTGTACGTACACCGTGTCACGTCCCCGACCCATCTTGACAAACGATAAGCACCCGCCAGAACTGTCCGGTAATTTTAGTCCTTTCCGGATGTTCCATTGCTTGCAAACTCCGGCTCCTCTCACGGTTACACCTGCTCAATTTCCGGTTATATTCTCATACTTTGGTGAGCAACCAAACATCCATGCATCGTCAGTTTGTTGCGCTGCATGGTCCTGTTGAGCGGTTCACCGTTGCACTCGGCATTATCCGTTCACCGTAAGCCATCTTCGACGGATACATCTGCGAGTCGGGTACTTAATCACATTTAATTTGTGTCCTTTCATTAAATACGGTGGTCTGATATCTCAGCCTGTTGAAGTCCAAAGCTGAACTCGTTGCACTGTTCCTACCAGAGATCGCTCTCACATATGGAAGTGATTACTCAACAGGCCGACTGTTCTGAGCGCACTGCGTATATTTCATTATACTCGAAAACGCCATCGCACTGTGTCTGCTTCGTCCCACCTATTGGCCACTAACACTCCGCGAAGACAATTTATCATCTCATCAATCGAGAGATCGTTCCATTCACTTCAGTCAAGGTCCGGTAGCACGTGCATACGAAATGAGTTCCGCATCTGCATACACGATGCAGGACAATGCGCATATTTATCGCGCTGCCTCATTGCAGTGTGCGCAATGAGAAACGGTAGGGGTTTGAAAGCTAACATCCATCGCAGTTAATCTCGCCTCATGTATAGCGTAACTAGTTGGCCCGTCCCATCTTCAAGTATTTTCTTACTTACTCGATCGTTAAGATTTGAAGTGAATGTTTATTTCACCCCACAGATTGAACTACTTGTGTACTCTTTCCGTCCTTTTCACCGGTTTTCGACCGAGTTTAAATCACGCAAACACGGCACTTTCTGCGATTCACTCGGACCACCATGAGTAACTTTTCTACAAGGCACAGTTTTTCTTTACCCGTGTAAACCTGCGATCCCCGTTTGTGTTGACACACGGGTTGTTGCGGTTAGCCTGACCTATCTGTGCGCGGAAACTTTCAATATCAGTGAATGATGTTCACAGGTACATTGTTTTTCCAAAATTCAAACTGTGAGCCCGTACAGCTTGCTCCTTAGATTTCCGTCGACGGCGGTTTCCTCTTCCTACACCTGCTTCTGAGTGTCACCGCTTCAAGCGCGGTTCCATCTTAAAACTTGTCTAATCTTTAAAACCTAAATAAATAGGTTTCTTCATTTATGTGTACACTTTATGTCGTCGTTCATATGCAACAGCAGCAAACTTGTGGCCCCATCTCGGCGTTCTGCTCCACTGCAAGGGAACCACTAACATTACCGGTTTATCAGGTTCCCCTGATTTTGAATACATAATGGCATCCAGGTAATTACTGTTTGGTAAGCGGACATTCTCACTGCCCACTTCTGTCGCATTTATGTGGAATGCGATCCAGCGGCGGGTTCGGAGGTGCTTATGGAGCTGTTCTCGGTCTCCAACATCCGTGATCCACCAGCTACCGAGTTTGCACTTTACGAGTTCGTAGCTAAATAGAATCTAATAGGTCAAATGATTGTTCGATGCTGGTTTTTAGAGTTCGTCACACACTAAATTTCCGACATAAATCAGTTGCAGCCGAGCCCTTACGTATGTACACTTTATCGTTCTGGTTTCTGCCAGATTCCTCGTTGACGAGGTGTGGGTGGATTCGCGATCCAAGAATCGAGAATGATCTTCGACTTTCGAACTCTGCACCAACCAAGCAATGTTTTAATCAGGATGTGTTGCCCCATCCGAGGCCAATTTCACGGCCAGGTGGTACTCAGCTGTGTCGATTGTTGTTGGAGAACTATGGGAGTGTGATCGCGACTAGTGACTGTTGTCTTCCGATGTTATTAGGACTGAAGAATCGGTGGATGTGAGAGCACGCTGCCCATCACAAGAAATTAGTGTCCTGTCTTAGCCCTTCCTAAGGCTGGAAATGACGAAAACACTGCTTTCCACCATGAAAAGTTCGTTCAACACGTACGCGCTTAAGTTTGCCAAACGGCAGAAATGCGTGCGTCTCTACAAATGTGACCAACGGTTACTTGATGGTCCCTTAGCCTCCAATACTTAATGGGGCTACTTGCCGTAAACACAAGGGGGCAATCGTTAACGAAAGCGGCTTGCTGCTAGGTGAGTGATAAAATCCCGCTTTTGGTTCTCCAGATAATCTCGTGTTCGGCGTACTTACTGTGCATGCATGCGCACATATCCACACTAGGTGCTTTCACAATCGGATTTACATCTTCCCCCTGGCATCATAGAGAATCTGGCTTCGGGCAGAAAAACGAACATACGCAACCGTCCATTAAGTAGGAACTCTGCGGTTTCCGCTTGAGATGTACAGTAAAACGAAATGTGAGCCAAGCTATCGATCCCGGCTATACACTAGTAATTTTATTTCTGGACATTCGACCGAGTACTCCAAAAGCGGTTGTTACAAAGATTGAAGGCCTTTGGGATCCAGGACTCATTACTGGATTGGCTATCGTCATACCTGAGTGGTCTCCACCAGGTACTCACTTTGGGTGACTCGCTTCTCCACGCCCAATCACTAGTGTGGTGATCCAAGGGAGCGTGCTCGGTCCTTCATTGTTCATGCTTTACATTAATGACATCGCATCCGTAAAACATGGTCAACCATTTGTATTTACTGACGATATCCAGTCCGGCTATAAGCTTCGGCGTAACCAACCTCATAGAACCCTATTGCTCATTCAAGATGATTTACATTGTCTCGAGTTCTAGTGCCACATGTGGGTGAGGAATCTTTCGGCTAAGAAATCAAGCATCATGTCTAACGAATGTTCCATCCCCGATGGATCCATTGCACTAATCAATAAACATGTCCCCACGCAGTTGTTCATGCGTGATCTCATAACTAGATACTCATGTGTTTTCAATTTCTCCGAACATGCCCAATACCTAGTAGCATGCGCCAGTCAATCTGTGTTTAATATATCCAACAAAATCCCCATGGCCCATGCTAGAGTTGAGCTTTTTAAACTACTCACCTGCCCCGTCCTGCAGCGTAACATGCGGTAATATGAAAAAGGGCAACAGAATTTCTGTGGAACACCGGCAGAAATCGTCTGCTAAACATTTGATTGATAAGCACTCTACCATGAATTATCAACAACGTCGTAACGAGCCACTTTGGATTCGACACTTGAAACATAACTTGTTGGTGCTTCTCAACCTATTACGCAAAGAGACCTATTCCCATCTGTCTACACTCGAACTGCAACGTAGCTCAAATCGAGAGCTGCGCAACAAAGATTATCTACTGAATATACCAAAGGCTAGAACGAACATACGCTAATTTCTTCCTGGTCAAATATAGCTATCTATGAAATAAACTGCCAATCACACTCAGGTCGTGTGATAACGTGGCAAAATTTAGAAGCAGTCTCCAGTTACCTTGACCTGAATACAGTAATGATTATGTTCACGGGGGAAAGTCCCTTGACGAGCTATTCCGAGAGGGACCGAAGACATCTAAACACCCATGTTTTCAAGCCTTCGCTTTCGCCTCAGGCATCCACCAAAACGAGATTACATGATTTTTAAGCCGCAATATTCCACCTACTCACATCGTCCGTGCAAGAGCATGGCTACGTTCGTATAAATTGATCTGTGCCGCTGCAGACGTAGTTTCTAGGAGCGGGAAAAATATACGTATTATTATTAGTGTGATAAATAGGTCCCTCCAGTAGTTGCTTCCCTACTCGGTTGCTGCTTAATGTAAGTCTGTGTTTTCTGTGGGCGCAATCTCAGATAGTACAACAATTATTCAGGAATGTGCAAGTACTTTCTAAGAAGCAAGTCACCCTATTCTATTGGCTGCATCGATTAGACCTGGACGAATGCAGTCTTCATGTAGCGTACTTACATCTCTATCTTGGGAGTGTTGGTCAGGACACCCACCAGCCCTCGCAAACACCGTACAAAGATTGAGTGGCGTTTAATCCGAGCAAAACCCTCCGCTCGTGTGATCATAGGCTGAAGCTCGTCATGTATGGATTATAGAGATAAAAAAACAGTCTCGGTGGGTTGGCCTAATCTCACTTCATTTTTACCGGGACTAGGCGTCGACCCTTTATGTGTAAAATTTCGGACTCCTTTTCATGTGTCCTCATAGACACACATTATGACACGGTATCAGGGAAATTTTCACTGCTACGGGTGGATATTTCTAACTCGTAACTCACCTTTACATACTGCGGTCCATTTCGGACGTTTATTCGGTACGGATTGTTAAGCTCAATCAATGCGAGACACACTCCAACTGGGTGATCTGATCAATTTGTGCGACATAATCGTACAAATGGGTAATTCTTCGGATTCTCTAAGGCGGTTTCCAAACAAACTTTCGAGTGACATCATTTCAGTATATTAGCAACGGGAAGGTTTTTTCGCGGCGCTAAATATATATATAGCCAAATGTTCAAGTAAAGTAATGCGGCCATCCATAAAACCGTCCCCTAGAGACTTGCTTCCATGTGGGTCAGTCTCTCGGAAGATTCGTAGAAATCACGATTAAACTGCGCACAATAATCTACCTCGACCGGGGAATCGGATCCCAGTCCCACGAATTTCCGGTCCGTTGAGCTACCGAGGGCTGACGATTAGGTGCGCAATTTAATACATGACTTCCGCTTGGTGCGCGACGTCTTGCCAATGAGCTCACAGTAATTGTCCTGGTGTTGCAGATTAGTTCACTCACTCGTCACTTCCCAAGGGACCAAAGTAACTGTCCTGAAATCTAAAGGGCGATGGTAGATTACTTGGAAGGTGTTTGTGAGTAGCGTAAGGTTCTTAGAAAGTAGAAGTCACGATTAAACTTCGCGCAATAATCTGCCTCGACGGGGAATCGAACCCCGGTCCACGAATTTCCGGTC